AAACCTAATCACTGTAAAATCCAAGCAGAGAGTGAGTCCTGGGGAACTGTATGAAGTCTCCCAGAATCAGGGGCTGCCTGGAACGCAGGGAAAGTTGGTGTTGGCGGATGATGGCTAAGAGAAGCAGGGTTTCCGTTCTGGGGTCAGGAAAATGTCTGAAAACTCACACCAGTGACAACTATGCGAATATACTAAAAGCCAATATACTAAAAGCTGTACACTTTAAATACGAATTCCATCTGAATAAAGCAGTAAAAAGAATGCAGGGTTTTTGTATCAATATCTCCTGAATCTCATTTTCTCCTTTCCCACTGCTTCCTGTTTATGAAAAGTCATCATGGGCTCCTATTGCAACAGGTGGTCTCCTGGCATCACCAGTTTTACTCTCCTCTGACCCAAGCTCAGAATGTCCTTTCCCCTGTCAGCCTTGGGCCACGCTGTTCTCTCAGCCTAGACTACTCCCCGCCCCACCCCCGTTTGCCCTCCCAGTCCGAACTCACTTTTTGGGGCCTCGGCTTAAATATCACTTCTGCCAAGGGTCCTTCCCCTCTTCTACTGGGTTTAGGTATGTCACCTACCTTGGCACTTCACCTGTCACACTGCTCATCCTATTTGATGATTTCCTGTCTGTCTTCTCCACTTTATATATCCAATGAACAGGGAAAATGTCTGTTTAATTCTAACCCCTAGCACAGTATCTGACACCTAACACACTCAATAACTACAGGCTACGTGAATAAATGAATGGCTGAATAAGTCCTTATCTTAAGAGACCTTAGTTTCTCCATAAGATAAAAACATTGCACTAAATGGTAACTTTTCTTCCTTTATGATCTATATTCACAGGATGACCTCAAAATTTATATTATTCAATGGCCCTATTATTTCTTAGTAGGAACAACTAATGAAGATATGATTAAATTGAAGTCCATTTTTATCAGTCCCTCCTATTTGAAATAAATGAGGTTAATTAGATAAGAAAATTATCTCCAATACAAAGTAGCAGCTGGAAATTAGCAAAAAAAAAAAAAAATTAACTCTATCTGTACCTTTTTTTAATAAACATATATAAATATGCTTGAAAATTAGCCCAAACAGTTAGGACTCAGATGTTATGAGATAAAAGAACTGCCCGAGAGCCTGCCTCTGGCGCCATGTGATACAGGAGAGAAAGACTGTCTGGAAGAAGGCTTCCGAGCCAAGCCTAAGGCAAAATTAAGTTCTGTGTGTGTGTGTGTGTGTGTGTGTGTGTCTCAGGGTCCTATACTCCACTCCTGGTTTCCTCTGCTTCTCCCTTCATCACTCAACTCTGGCTCTACATCTATAGGTTATGCCCTACACAACATACGCTGCACATTTCAAAAACAACTCCCTCTCAAACACATTTCTGTGGCAACAACAGCTATTAACATGGCCTTCAGGTCTTGGCAAAGAAAAGCCTAAGAAGAAACCAGTGATCTGCTGAGGTGGCTTATGTTACAATTTGGTAGGCTTGCAGATGCATCCAGCCTCATGTCACAGATCTATTTCCTACCGACCTGGAACCTGACACCTCATGAACAAATTACCACAGCTAAAAGAGTGATGCTGCTAATGTTAAATTAGTGTTTCAACTTCTTGTTAAATGTAAAAATCTCACACCCTTATTTAGAAGTATTTTAAATCTCCAAATACCACAGCTAAAAGCAAATCACCCAATGGCAACTTCAGAATACAGTTCTTTCCTAAGTCCCATCCCTGCTGAGATTCTGATGTAATCCTTTCCTCCATTTTGCTCTTTCCAATTCTGCAGTTCTTGAAACACAGTAATAACTGAATAAGTATTTATTAAGTGAAAAAACAAATGTCCCTCTAAAAGCTGTAGGTTAGAGAAGAAAGGAAAGACATCTCTATTTATATAATGGCCACTTATAAAACTGCATCTTTGTAATTCATAGTGCATTTGTATTCTGTGTTCAGTTACTTTACACTCATGTATGAATTTTTAAGTTTTTAAAGAATTAAAATAAAATACAACATTAAAATAAAGAAGAATGCAAGTTACTTTTCAGATGATTCACAGGATGCTTAGAGGATTTAGCAGTGTCCAAAGAGCATCACTTGGAAAAATCAGCCAACAATACTAAAGAACAACAAGGGGTTTGGGGAGGGGGCAGAGAGGGGTCTAACTAAACAGTAACATTCTATTTGTTTGAGGATGACTTACTGCACAGATGTACTCTCTACTTAAAGCAATTCACCACAGAATTTAAATAAAAATTATTCCATATACTTTGACCTATACCTCCAAAATTAAATTTACATTTTTATTTTTTAGTATATATTTTATTAATGTATTTTTTCAGAGAGGAAGGGAGAGGGAGAGAGCGAGAGAAACATCAATGATGAGAGATTCATTGACTGGCTATCTCCTGCATGCCCCATACTGGAGATCAAGCCCATAACCCCAGGCATGTGCCCTGACCAAAAATCAAACCATGACCTCTTGGTTCATAGGTCAATAGTCAACCACTGAGCCATGCCAGCTGGGTTGAGTTGTATGTTTTAGATCATGAGTGGGGAACATCCGGCCTGCAGGCCATTGTATAAGGCCTATGAAATCATTTGGTCTGGCCCTGCCAAAGCAACCACAGGCAGAACTTTGAAATTCAATAAATTCAGGAACTTTTTTCGTAGCAACATAAATTTATATTCGCTTAATTACATTAAGCGAACAATGTTATAAATATCCAAATGACCTTTGGCAGAAAAAAGGTTCCCCGGCCCTGTTTTACTTAACTGATATTAGATACAAGACCATAATAAAGTTAACATTCTATGTTGTCACTAGCAAAGCTATGACAGTAGTGGTTAAACAAGATTTTGTTAATACTCATAACAATTTATTGTTAGAAGATGGAAAAGATACCCTTCCCTAAATTTCCCACTAAGAACAACTAAAAGCCCTGGACATTATAATACAAAACAAATATAGACTTTAAAAGTTGGAAAGAAGACAGCAAATTGGCTAGGAACCTCAGGATCCAAGGAATAAGACACTGGCAAATTCTCTGGGTTTTCTTTTTGCCTCATGTCTTCCAGAACCGAAGGTGAAAAAATCAGCCCCAAAAAGGAACCAAAGGCACAGCCCAGAAAAGTCCCAACAGAAACCTGCCCTCCCCAGTCAATGGACCACAGAGGAAGCCTAAGAAGACTGAGAACTTTCAGACAGTAGCTACTCTTCTCCAGACAACAGCCAAAGAAAAACTGTAGTCCTTCCTCCACCCAGGCCAACAAAGCCAAATAGGGAGCCTGGACTTCCAACCGTACCAACCTGTCACAGAGGCTGAGCAGGGAAGCAAGGCTTTCATCTCTCTTTGGAAGTATAAAGCCCCACCCTCACCACGCACACACACTCAGGTTATGTCATCTGGATATCCACCATCATCCAGCAATAACGAGGTGACCTTGCCGAGGTGGCCATACTCCATACGGGCGTAACTCATCATTGCTGGAAGGGTAAACACTGCCCATGCGACTTCACTGGGAGAGACCAAACTGAATGTGCAGGCCTGTTGTCTCCTGGACCCTGCCCCTCTATTTTATTGCTGACAGAATTCGGTATCCTTTTGCTGTAACAAACCATGACCATTAGTATGACAGCTTTTCTGAGTTCTGTGATTCCTTCTAGCAAATCTCTAAGACTAAACGTGGCCTTGGGAATACCTGAACTCTCATACCTCATTCAATTAAAACTGTTGCAAAAGACTTTGTTAGAGAATGAAAGACACGCTACAGAGAGGGAGAAAATATTTGCAAACCAACCAAGGATTAGTATCTAAAATATAGGTTGTCCCAAGAAAACATACATTTTGGGGACACCCTGTATATAATTATAAAGATGGTGTTTGTCCATATACATTTCATTTTCAAAATTGAGCTATCAGCTGTTAAAACATGTACACATTTTGGGGACACCCTGTATAGAAGAAACTCTCAAAACTCAACACTAAAAAAAAGGAAATAATCCACTTAGTACATGAGCAAGACATGAAGAGACATTTCACCAAAGAAAATACACAGAAAGCAAATAACCATGTGAAAAATGTTCCACACTGTTAATCTTTAGAGAGCTGAAAATTAAAACCAATAAGATATCACTTAATTCCTATCAGATGGGCTAAAATTTGAAAACTACCAAATGCTAGCAAGGATAAAGAGTATATTGGGTTACTCATTCTGATCCATTTCCATTATCGATATAAATGGAAGTCATTCTGGAAAATAGCGTGACAGTTTCTTTATAAAGTAAACATGCAACTGCCATATGACCAGCCAATGCATAGACATTGACCGCAGAGTAATAAAGACGTAAGTTCACACGAAAACCTATACATGAATGCTGGTAGCAGCTTTATCCCTACTAGCAAAAAAATTAGAAACAATCCAGATGTCACTCAGCAGGTGAAAGGTTAAGAAAAATGTGGTCTATTCAATACCACCATTGCTATATACATACGACTCAACTATAAAAGGAAGAAATTATTAATATATACAATTACCTGGATGAATCTCCATGGGGGGGGGGGGAATTCCAAGGGGCTACATATCAAATGATTGTGTTTATACAGCATTCTTAAAATGATAAAATTATAGAAATGGAGGTTCCTGGTCTCCAGGAGTTGAGGAGGGGAAAGTGGGTGTGAGCAATATTAGGTAATCTCTGGTGATAGAAACATTTGTATTTTGACTGTAACAAATCAATTTCCTGGTTGTGATGTTATACTGTAGTTTTATAAGATATAACCATGGGGGAGAGAGGTGCACAGAATCTCCATATTATTTCTTAAAGTTGCATGTGAATCTATAATTTATTCAAAATAGCAACACTAAACATCATTAAATATTCAAACACTACTTCTAAATTTCTTGGTCTAAAACAATAAAACATATCCCTTGAATGCTTTCAACTCAACCATCCTCCAAATAGTTATATCAAAACACGAAGAATTTTAACTCACCTTCCACGCTGTCAGAACAGGAGGTTCCGATGCCAGTGTCACCACTGTCAGAAGCTATACTATGTCTCCTGATGTGATTATTTCGATGGTTGGATGGAACAGTTGTGGCCTGCCACAACGATTCACTACCAGGTAGCCATGCTGATGAAGAATAATCTGGGCCTACAAAGAAAAATGTGCAAAAATTAACACACTTATAATCTCTGTGAGTAGAGAGAAGATATCTTTTTCAACCTTGTAAAAAAAAATGCACATCAGGTTATATTCTGCCCAAAATAGTTAAAATAGGACAATGGTAACATAAATTCAATGCTGACTTAGCAGCTTCCTCTGGCTGAAGGACTCTGATATCTGCATATAGATATCTGAACTTTCAAACACATACTGTTCTCTTACTTAAAATGTCAAACACATCATCTATCTATCTGGAAATACTCTGCTCTAGAATATCTGATAGGTAGGCATCTATGATTCCACACAATTAGCTGAGAACTGGGGCTCAGATAAAGTCTAAGTGAATCATATGGCATGGCAATATAAGTAGATTATACTCATGAAAGATTAAAAAAAAAAAAACCTATTTTTTCTACAATAGCCTAATCACTTAAAATTGAAAATTATTTTGCATTATTTAATTGATTTGTTTATGAGAGTATTACAATGAAAGCAAAGCAATTCACTCAGGTTTCCCAAAATGACAAAAACATAATAAAATAATAGAACTATCTCTATGTTGATCTCCGACCTGAACTCAGATTTGTCTTAACATTTAAATATGCTTCTTTTTAAAAAAGATTCAATAGCCGAAGCCGGTTTGACTCAGTGGTAGAGCGTCGGTCTGCGGACTGAAAGGTCCCAGGTTCGATTCCGGTCAAGGGCATGTACATTGGTTGCAGGCACATCCCCGGTAGGGGTTGTGCAAGAGGCAGCTGGTCAATGTTTCTCTCTCATCGACGTTTCTAGCTCTCTATCTATCTCCCTTCCTCTCTGTAAAAAATTAATAAAAATATATTTTAAAAAAAAGATTCAATATATTTTATGTAACTTGAACACTGATTATAATTAACAAATACCATGAGTAACATTCTAATCTTTATTTTAGATTGACTGCATCAGAGAATAATATGTCTTATCTCTATTCAAGCCAATCCAGAATCACAAAGCAGTAAGAACTAGCTGTGAAATATACTCATCAGGTGATACCGTTTCCCCGAAAATAAGACAGTGTCTTATATTAATTTTTCTCCCAAAGTTGCGCTAGGTCTTATTTTCAGGGGATGTCTTATCTTTCCATGCGCTAGGTCTTATATTCGGAGGATGTCTTATTTTTGGGGAAACACGGTAGAATAAGGACACTTTTTTCACATAATAGTTATAATTATGCTACTAAAAGAGGAACTACTTAATTGCTAGATATGTGCTATGCACTTAACAAAAACTTAAGGTTCAGTGTCCTTTCATATTAAAGCAACTGAGTAATTGTGTAAAATCAGTTCTCTCTCTAGAACAAAGACGGAGCATTTCTGTACGAATAGCAAAGATCCCAGGACAGCATACATTTGAACTTCTCTTTGGAATGCAGTATGTTACATTTTTAAATATAAATTTCAATTATTTTACACTGAGTGCCCAGTAGTAATAAAATTCACACTGAAAATATAGGAAGATTACATTTTTTTAAAAAAAGAAGTAGCCTATTATATTTTGTTTCTGAAGATTTTATTTAAGTGGAAGCAAAAATGCACACAATACCAAGTCTTCTACAATATGTTAATATTCCTGTAACTATATTTAGAAAAACAATTAATCTTATTTTTTAATCACAACTCTGAGCCAAAAGAAAATTTTAAAAAGACACTGACAAAGCAGATTTACACTTTTGCATAAAAAGCTGAATATGTATTACAAATCATAGATACAAATTGCAGTGTTTCTTTCAAAGTAAAGGTTATCATCCAACCTTTTTATTTTTTTATTTTAAAAAAAATATGTTTTATTGATTTTGTACAGAGAGGAAGGGAGAGAGAGAGTTAGAAACATCGATGAGAGTCATCGATCAGCTGCCTCTTGCACACCCCCTACTGGGGATGTGCCCACAACCAAGGTACATGCCCTTGACTGGAATCGAACCTGGGACCCTTCAGTCCCCAAGCCGACGCTCTATCCATTGAGCCAAACCGGTCTTGGCCACCCAACCTTTTTAAATAAAAGAGAACAGAAAAGCACATTAATCCTTATACGGCATCATAAGATGCACATATCTAACACATTATAAGATGCACATTATCTCTGAAATGTCAACAAGTACACAATACTTTACACAAAGTTCAGAGCACTGGCCTTCATTGCCCTATTCTACCATCAATAGAAATTAATGTACAACTAACTTAAAAAGAATAAAAACCCCCTTTCCTTAGCCCATACGTCTAATCTATTTCAGTCTATTTCAGAAAGGCCAATTGAATGAGCCCTCCTCTCCATCCCCACTGTCACAGGTCATACCTTTTGGCTTGATTACTGCAAAGATGTCCTGCTAGAGTAACTCTATCAGAGCCTTCTCCACGCTACTGTCAGAATTATCTTCTTAAAGCCAACATATTTATGTCATTCTCCTGCTTGCATAGATCTGTTGGTTCTTTACTGCATATTGAATAAAACTCAAACTCATTAAGTTTGGCAAACTTCTTCATCAACTAGAAGCTTCATTTTCTAAAACTTCCCAAACCCTTCCTCCCCAATCTCAGCTCCCTAACAAAGACTCTCCAGCCACACATACCTAACCACTGCCTCCAAACAGATCAGGTTCTCTGGAGACTCCAAGCTATCTCCGTACTGTACCTTCGTTAAAAGTCCCAGTGCAGAATTAGCTTGCTCTCAGTGTTCTCTGGTTCCTCAGGCGATATTAAGTAACTACTACTTTGTGCTCTCCCAATATATCATTCAAAATTCTATAACAGCATTTACTAATCTAAATTAACCCATATGTATATGACTTTCTTCACCATAACCACACTGGGAACACTGAAAAACAACTTTTCCCCCCTCTTTTTATAGTCTCTAGCACAGAGCTTCACAGTTAGGCAGAGTCTCAATAAATGCTGTAATTATTACCACTGAGTACTCAATAAATGTCAGTGGTATAAAATTAAAACTCTCAAAGACTTAGATCTAAAAAATATTCCATTTAGAAGAAGGGGGTTTTCTTTCTTTTTTTCTTTTTTGGTTGTTGTTGTTGTTTATTTTTAAATACAGGAGATTTTAAACTATCCCTGGAGCTAGTGTACATTTAAGTATCTATTTAAAGATCAGTAAATATTTTCCAAAGCAGCTAAAAATACATTAATAATTATAAATGGTTTGAGGAGTTTATAGCCAAAATTCCAAATAAACATGGGGAAACAATCTCCAATAGGATCAAAGCACCAAAAAAGCAATAAAATTTTTAAATGTAACATTAAAACACGTTTTAAGATATTCATATTAATAATAACCACACAAAAAAAAGGAAAAAAACAAACAGAAAATCCTGCTTACACAGGAGAATTACTAGCTAAGATGAAAGAAACTTTATTTTCTTTATTCCATTTCAAGTAACTAAAAATAAAACTACCTTATGATCCAGGAATCCTCACTTCAGGGTATATATAACAAGATCTCAAAGAGATATCACAACTCCCCATGTTCTACTGCATTATTTACAACAGACAGGGAAGCTACGTGTCATCAACAGATGAATGGATAAAGAAAATGTGATGTTTATATACAAGGCATACTATTATTCAGCCATTAAAAGAAGAAGAAAATCCTGCATCCATTTTTGACAATATGGATGGATTGTGAGGGTATTATGCTACCTTAACTATGCCAGACAGAGACAAATACCATATGAGCACACTTAAATGTGAAATCTAAAAAAAGCCAACTCATGAAAACAGAGAACAGACTGGTGTTGCCGATGACAGGGGATGCGGGAGTGGGCAAAAGTAGCCAAAAAACACAAACTTACAGTGAAAAGATAAGTAAATTCCAGGGATTCATTTATAGCATGGTAACTATAGTTAACAATGCTATGGTGCATCCTGAAAGCTGGTAAGAGAGTAAACCCTAAAAGTTCTCATCCTAAAGGAAAGAAGTGTAACTAAGTGTGACATGGTGCATGTCAACTAAACCTATTGTTGTAATCACTCTGCAACATGTACATTTATCAAATCATCATATTGTATGCCTTGAACTAATACAATATTATACATCAATTATATCTCAATCAAACTAGAATTGCCTTTCTTGCAGTTAATGATTTAAACTGAATTCTGAGTAATTGACAGCTAGTATTCTTTGCTTTCTAAATTAAAAAGAAATTTGGAAGTTCATTCATTAATTACTGAACTTTAAAAACATTACCACAAAAGGTATAAAACTATATTCTTCAGAACTGATTCTGAATTTCCTATTTTCAATTCTAGTGTAACAAGGAAGAGCTTCAAACTAGGTTGGTTGAGGTTCAGGTTTAAATTACCTCAATTAGAACAAGAGTCAGATGGATAATTGGTTCACCTTTCACAGTAAAAATATTAATTCAAACCAATAAATATTCACCCCAAGTACTCATTATGTAAAGAGGAATTTAAGAGAGGTGGGGTAGCAACCAACACAGATAAGACTATCTCCTTCTATGAAAAAATTACATGCCTGTTGATTTCAGTGTATGACGGCCAAAGAGCCCTATCTTCTGGTTACATGAAATGCTGCATTCAAAAGTTTCTTGGTAGATATGAGGAATGAGGGCAACGTATTTAATTTAGTCTCTCATAGCCTTTGTTTCTATTTATAAACTGGAAAAAGAAGGTATGGTAAAAACTAGTAAGTTTTTAACCACTACAAGCATGAGGGAGTATACCAAGTGGTATTCCTGAGGGGTTTACGCTTTTGTTTTGAAATATAATTTAGTAATATCAACTAATAGAAAAAATATTCTACATGGTAGCAAATTAAGGAAATATTATCAGTACCCAGGGGGAAATAAAATAAAAGAAACTTTCCTAAATAAAAAAGTTGTTAGACCTAATTCTGTACATGCTTTTATTTATGTAGCATTCGCTTCCAAAGGAAGCAGAGTACATTAATTATTTCTCAACTAGTTAGCCATTTATTTTCTGACACTT